ATTTGTGAAATGCTAAACACAGGCTTAATCAAAAAGCTTGTATACAGATTAATTAAATATTAAATGATGAAATTAGATAAAAAAATATTAATTTAAAAAATTTCATAAAGAAAAAAAATAACAATAGAATAAAATAAAGATGAAATCTAATAGGAAAAAAATGGAGGGTGAAATTATAAAAATATAAATTCTAACAATTATCTTGAATAGGGAATAAATTTGACAAAGCAAGAAATTGATTGGGGATGCAATTGAAATAAAATTTTAATTTCATAAATTAAATCAAATAATGACTAAAAAATTAAGGACCAAATCAAAAAACAAGATAAGTTCAGGGGCTGATATGAAAAATTGCAAAGCAAAGAAAGAAGAAAAAAATGATCTTCAATGCCAAAACAAAGATCTTTAATGCGTACGCGTCGCTAGGTCATGGAGAAAATACCTCGATGAACCAAACACGACCCAAAATAGCATTTTAACCACATAAACCAGTCGCACGCGTCTACCAAAAACAATAGAGGGACTGACGCGCTGAGACTTGCGCATATACGATGCTTGTATGATCCATACACCATGTCTGTATAATAATATTGGGGTAGAAAACAGCGTTCACACAACCAATGCACAATACACGTGAAAGTCACGCGAACTTTCAGCGAGTGGCTATCAAAACTTTCACTAGGCATTTTATGTGGCCTTGACAATCCCTCTCTTTTCTACAGTCTTTTACGAGTCACAACTCCCCAGGCAATAACTGCCTCTGCAAAAACCAAAGACCTCGTTTCTCCACGTCATCACCGTGACTTGTCAGATCAAACGAACAAAGTTAATGGACACGCGTGAGCCTGCATGTGGGTCAAGGCGTAACAAGGGCCTAGTTTCCCGCCATCCTTCACGGGCCCAAAGTGAAACAAGCAGAACCATAATGCCATTACAAGGCAATGGGAGGTCTTGCTTAAAAAAGGCAAGACCCATGATCAAAATTTACCGTGTTAATATTTTTGTATTTTAAAAATATTTTTTGATTTTTTTATTTTGAATTAATTTTTTTAATATTTTTAATATGTGATATTAAAAATAATTTTTTTAAATAAAAAAATATTATTTTAATATAAAATATTTTAAAAAATAATAATTATTATATTTTTAAACACTTCTTTTTATTTTTCATGCGAACATAAGTTGTACCCTTATTTATACATGTTCATGAAATGATCGATGAAAATAATAGAACTGAAATTCTTAAATAATTGTTTTTTCACATTTCATTGTAATAAAAAAATAAATTTAATTAGTTAGATTTTAAATTTACTCTTTAGATATTATTAGTTCGAGTTTCATAAATTTTAAAGTTATTAGAAACTTTTGTGATTATTAATTTTATGATTCGTAAAATTAGTCAAGATACATACAAATTAGAACAAATACATATACTAATAATAATAATAATAATAATAAAGAATAAATTTAAGAAGATACACATCAAGCAAAATTAAACTCCCTTATTAAATAATCTTCAAAACACATTTTGGAACCAAGCTAATACAAAATTTAAAACCACATGTATAATATTATTGATTGCCCGGGATTATTAATCTAACTAGCATTCACATCGTCCTACTGAATGAGAAATGAATAGAAAAACATGCTCCTTTTTCCTTTTCTCCTTTTTCCTTTTTCTTTGCTTGGCCATGCATGTTTCTGTACCATGATTTCTCCTTTATAGATGCTGAGTGTGCCATGATTTCTCCTTTATAGATGTTGAGTAACATCGGTCTCTTGCTTTTTTGTAATGCTAGTATCCCTTTCTTGTCAACATGTGAAAAACAATGTGCGAAGCTCTCGTGATAAACAGACCCTGCCTGCTAACAGGGAAGACGATAAAACTGTCACGTACACCACCCCACTTGTTATCGTGAACAAAACCTAAAGCACTATTTAGAACAGTTGAAAAAATTATTTCAATCTTAAAACTAAAGGTATTAGATAAGTTTAGAAAGAAATAATTTATATTCTTTTTTAATATATTTTAATTGAAACATTTTTGAACTAAAGGCATGAATTTAAACATTTTTAATTGAATGCTGGAAGGAAGCAGCTAGAGATAAACCAGGAGGTGACCTGCCACACAACCAGTTAACTATATCACACCCCTCGGTCCAGCTCCAAGATGAATTAATTGCTCGTCTTGTACTCGACCAAATTAATAAATAAATTATTATCACTCCAATCAAAAAACTTGAGGTGGAAATACCATTTGTTAAGAGATTTAGGAGTGTGAAGATTATGTATTTGATGTAGAGTTAAAATAATATATTTTCATGATACAATAAAGTCTTAAAACTTAAAAACAACAATTTTCACAAGTTCTTTGTTTCATTTTTAATTAACAGAATTTGTGGAGAGAGAAATATTGTTTTTTAATTAATTTATGTCAATATCAAATTAATATTTATAAGCAAAAAAATATTTTCTTAGACTAATGTGCACGTAGGACTTAAAAGCATACTTCTTCGTATCAATATATATGTATAATTCAAAATACAACATTTCAAAAAAAAATTCAGAATAACTTAGTTAGAGGTATTATGCCTAATTAATTAATTCTAAAAATAAAAGAGCAACGATTGCCATGTCTCATTGTCTATATAAGTTTCAAGGCTTTGTTGTTTATGAATAATCTTAAGAAATCAATGAGAAAAAAAATCTTCTTCTTCTATTATTTTTTCTCTACAAACTCTCTATTTATATTTATTAGAAACAAAACAGAAATTTTTAAGAAATTTGTAGAAATTGTTATCTTAAGAAACTAAGTTAAAAATGAATGACTTAAATGAGAAAGATATGATTTTGGGTATAAAAATAAAAAAACATAGTGGAGAGTTTTGCTTTTTATTAATCTCATTATATTGAGAAAATCTTAAATAAATCTAATTATTTGAATATTAAAGAAACAAATACTATATATGATGTTTCTTTTAAATTAATAGAAAAAACTGGTTGATCAATTGCTCAAATTAAATATGCTAGTGTCATTGGTAGTTTGATATATTTTATGTATTATACCAGACCAGATATTACTTTCACAAAGTGAAAATTGTCTAAATACACAAGCAATCTTAGTATGGATTATTGAAAAGTAATTATAAAAGTATTTGGTTGCTTAATAGAAACTATGAATTTAAGATTATTTTATAATAATTTTTACAGTTATACTTGAAGGCTACATTGATGCTAGTTGGATAACTAGTGCAAGTGATAATAAATCATTTTTAAGATAAGTGTTTATTTTAGAAGTTGGTGTTGTTTTTTAAACATTAAAAAAATAAACATGTATAACTCATTCTCCAATAGAATCTGACTTCATAGCTCTAATAACCACTAATAAAAAGGATAAAATAATTAAAAAATATGTTATTGGATATTAAGTTATGATCACAATCAGTGTTATATATCTTCTTGTACTATGATAGTCAAGCAACTATATCTATGACATTTAATAAAATTTATAATGAAAAATCTAGACATAAATATGAATATATATGGCAATTATTTTTTAACAAGATAATCATCATTTTATGTATTAGATCTTGTGATAATTTAACAAATCATTTCTATAAATAAATCTCATGAGATTTAGTTAGAAGTAATTCTGTTAGTATAAACTTAAAATCACTTAATTAAACTTACTAATAACACGTCAAACTCAATATTTACAAATATTTTTGCTAATTAGGAGTTTCATATGTAATAACAACAGTAACAGTGATGCATATTAATTAGTGTATGACTCAAGATTTATAAAATTAGTATTTAAATTAAATGGAAGGATGAGTGGCAATCACTCTAATTAAATTCTCCATGTGAGAAGGAAATTTTACCCACATGAACATAAAAATTGGTTTTGCCTCAAAATATTTTTGGAAAATTTTGTAAATATTCATAAATTTAAGAAATAGCATGAGATCATCACAGTGCTAAAATAATGAATGCTAGGCAATGCGAGATGAAATAAATATTAAAATGATGGAAATGAAATGTAAGAGAAAGATATAATCCACTATAAGTTGCAATAATTTCACATAACGTTTTTTTCTTGATTTTTTTTATTTTTAAATTAATCATTTCATATTAAGTTGATTTAGAATTGAATGTAATGTTTTATTTTGGTTAACTTATTATAAGGCCCACGTGATATTAATAATTAGTTTCGATATTAAGTTAATGTTTGATTTGAAAATATAAAATTTAATTTTACCAATTCAAACTTATTAAAACTTTAGGGATTCAATTTCAAACTAAAATAAATATTTAACATGCTCTTTTAAATAAGTTTTGATATAAAGTTAATGCTGTATTTGATAAAAATAAAATTTAATTTTATTAGTTTAAATAAATCATAACTTTAAGGATTTCATTTTAAATTGAAATAAATATTAAATTTTTTTTTTAAAATGTACTCTTTATGCAAGCTTCTCAATATATTTTTTTATAATCAATAAATTTATTATTATTTAATGATGTATATAATTCTTGATTAATTTTATGAAATGTACGTATAAATTTTTTAGTTTATAATTAAAAAGATATCTGATGGTAAAATGAACATTAACAATTCCCACACTTTTTTTACATTGAGAAAAGCAAAATCTCTATTTGCCAATGTAGTGCAAGGAATAAACCTAGTTTAATTTCCAAGTCTGAGAATATAATGAATGTTGTTTCTCGCTAATTCTTTATATATATATATTACGCGCCATTGCAGGGTTTCCCATGCATCCTCAACTGAACACCCTTTCTAATTTAACCTAATCTAACACAATCTAATCTCATCATCATCGAACATCCATCCATCCGGCCCCATCGCCGTTTTTTCTTGCTTCTAACACTACCACGTGGCAGTCATGTCAGTGGACCCCACTGCCCACGGCCTCTGGTTATGGATACATTCGATGGCTCTCTGCCCCAGTATTTCCACCCCCTCACTCTCTCTCTTAATTATCTCTCCAGGTCCAGGCCAGTAGTCTGTGTCAAATTCCGGCCAACGCCCTCTTTTTCTCTACGTCCATATATACCCCACCATCCCTTTCTCCCCCTTTACCTCATTCTTTTCTCCCCACTTTTCACTTCTCTATACACGCATCTTTTCAATATATTAGCTGTGCCACACTACTAAAATGTTTTTGTAGTCTCTTAAGCAGCTAGATACCCTCATTGTTAAATAATTTAGCTTTCTTTCTTTGTTTTTATAGTTTCTTGAATTGGTTTGTTGGGATACTGATGATTAATAAAGCTTTGTTATCAGCTGGTGGAGATAACATGCTGCACTGTACAGACATGACAGTGCTTGATAGACAAAGGGCTCGTATCAAATGGCAACAAGAACAACAGCAGCATCAGGTTCAGCTACCACAGCAAGAGATTAGTTATTTTTGTGAATTGAATAGGGTGTTCCAACAAGCTGGGTTTCATGAGGGTGGGTTAAGTGAGGTGGTGACCCGGTCCGTGAAACCTGACCCGGGTTTGGTGGATAATAGGTGGCATAATGATCATGTTGTGGGGTTTGGTGTTGGGCCTCCTTATACTAATGGGTTGGGTTTTGAGTTGAATTATGGTGCCATTTCTAGGACTTCTAGCTGCCCCCCGGGGTTAGCCGCTGCGGCTACGGTTACTGCTACAGTGAGAGGTGCAGAGTCTGTTGTGTCAGATAAGATTAGTTCCGGGGTTGGCAAAGAGAGTACCAAGAAGAGAAAGTTTGATAAGGTGCAAAATAACTCAAAGGTGTGTGTGTGTGTGTGTGTGTGTGTGTCTTTCTTTTTTGTATGTGATCACTGTTTCTTTGAAATCCCGTTGAAGAATCTTGAATTTTCACCGTAAAATTGTTTCCATTGTTTTTATTGCAATTTTGTTTAATTTGATATGAAAGCATTCTAAGCAAAGGATCTTCAAGTAATTCAATTGTTTGACTGGTTTTGTTGGAATAGTAAATGAAAGTGTATTTTTTTTTAATATTTGTTTTTGGGGGGTGTGATCTATAGGTTGTTGCAGAAGAGGACACCAGGGACAAAAGGATCAAAGGACGTGCGGAGGAAGGAGAGTCAAACACCTCCGAGAAAAATAACAACAAAAGCAGTAGCAGCAATAACAACAGCAACAAAAACAATAACAGTAACAAAGACAATTCTGCCGAGACCTCGAAGGACAATTCCAAAGTAACTGAGGTTCAAAAGCCAGATTACATTCATGTCCGGGCACGTCGCGGTCAAGCTACCGACAGCCACAGCTTAGCTGAAAGAGTGAGTTGGAATTTTAATACTTTCTTTTTCCCTCTGCTCTGCAGATTTCACCTAGAAATCCTGCCTAATATATTCATGTGTGTTGTGCAGGTGAGGAGAGAAAAAATCAGTGAAAGAATGAAGTATCTGCAAGATTTGGTACCAGGGTGCAATAATATCACAGGAAAGGCAGGCATGCTTGATGAAATCATTAACTATGTTCAATCTCTTCAGAGACAAGTAGAGGTAATTAGTGATTTTGGTGATTTTTTAATATTAATATTCTTATCTATTGTTCTTCCAAAACATAACATTTACCTGTCCCAATTTCTTGAATAGTTCTTGTCGATGAAACTAGCTGCTGTAAATCCAAGGCTTGACTTCAACATTGACAGCTTATTTGCCAAAGAGGTAAGTAAATCCTTTCACAAGTTGGATCTTTATCACCCAAAGTAAAATTTCATGTGTTTGTTAGTAGTTTATTTTGTTAGTGATGAACTCCTTTCTGTTTCAATCAACAGGCTTTTCCTGCTTGTTCAACCAATTTCCCCACATTTGGGATATCACCGGATATGACTAACGCTGCATACCTTCAATTTAATCCAGCACAACAACAATTAGTTTCATGCTGTGGATTGGATATGGGGATAAATCCTCCTGATATGGGGCTTAGAAGGACCACTAGTACTCCCGTATCTATTCCCGAAACATTTCTTGACTCATCCTGCTTCACTGTAATGCGTTGTTCACTTTTTATTTCTGTCCAGTTATCTCTATTTTCATATAATTTAGTTTCCTCTAATCTTATCTCGCAGCAAATCCAGGCCCCACCAACTTGGGATGCTGATCTACACAATCTTTACAATGTAGTATTTGAGCAAGGGAGACAAACGACCTTCCCAGTTCAGCCATTTACAGGTAAGATAGAATTATCATGTCTTTTTGATCTTCACTTTATTGATCTGATAAATCCTGAAGGCTAAAAACAAAGCAAAGTGGTTCTAACTACCAATGATGGAGAGCGTAGAGAACCCCCAAAAGTTAATGACTTTGCTTCGGGACTAAAATGAGTCGTTGTGATAGAGATGGAGAAAGAACTTCCTATCTATTGCCAATTGATGGCACAAAATGATCGAAACCACCAATTCTTTTCAATGACTTTTGAGTTTCTTACAATTCTTTCATTATAAAGAAGAACCAATTAAAGGTGCGAAGCATTTTGACTGTGTAAAGACATTATGGCCATCTATTGCCAATTGATGGTACAAAAATGAGCCCCCTGGTAAAAATTTGACAAAGTCTATAATTCTTACAACAAAATAACCTTGATAATTATGATTGTTTATCATGTTGGAATTCAATCTACTAGTAGGAGGAAAGAGCAACCATTAGATAACGAGGCTGGCTTTTGCTGTTCCTAAATTCCCCTAACTCCCATTTTAATCACACACTGCGATGACTCATGTTCGGGTAAGATTAACAATGGATTCTAAAAGTTGTCATATTAACTTTTGCAGGTTCTGTTGAAGCTAGCAATCTGAAGATGGAGATGTGAATCAGAATATCAATTTATACAATTCCGGAAGACTTTATTCCACATTGCCTTTGTTCCCGATTCTTTTACTACTCTTAGTACATAGCGTATATAGTTTGTATGTATACTTTCCACATAGTATGAATAAAAGCGATACCTATTAACATCAAGGTTTCTTTTTCTCGCACTGTAAATATAGCAACCACACCATAATGATTTTCTATTACACAAAAATGGTCGATAGCGATGGAGGGGGACCAAAGAATTAGGGTTGAAGGCAGGTTTAAGTAGTGGTAGGGCAATGGAACTTAAAATGAAGGGAAGGAAACCGAAGGTCCTGCTTCACAAAGTATCTTGAATTGTATGGCCTTTTCACGGACTAATTTCCCCTTTCATAGGATTTTTTTTCCGAAGAGGAAAAGCGCAGAGGAAGCGAAACAAACCACAAGTCAACATGCAAGAACGGCCACGAGTATATTGTGATTTCCATCAAAACTTGTCCTTGTTAGTCCAATGGCACAAGCTGTCCCTCTGTTGTATGAACCACAGTGACAAGTTTAAATAAAACCAGAGGACATGAGCCTACTGGTGGACCTTCTCAGCTCCCTTCAGAGCAGAATTGTACATGGATTGATTGAGACTTTGATAATTGGGCAATAAATTGACGATAAGAAGCAAGAATCCGTTAGAATGGTTTCCATGTCCTAGCATACAGCCATATTGCATTTATGTTTGCTCATTATGGCTCTCCTTAAATATCTCGGATGAGTTTAATTTTGCCTATATGCAAAACGCCCGTCTACATTCAAGACAGTGGTATTCTCAGACCAGCTTGTATTCGAGACTAGGGCCACCGGTTTCATTCTTTTCTAAGGCATGTCATTCATCCCACGACTATGGGTTTTATGGGAATTTCGTTTCTCATAATAGGACTGGAAACAATGAGGACACCCCCCTCATATTAGCTCATCTAGATTACTAAAAACTCCCTTTAATCTTCAATTCCTAACCATTTGACAGGTTTCTTCTTTCAAGGCAACATAAAGGCCAATAATCAGCCTGAAAATGACCCTAATTAAGTTCCTTCCTTTAACGTGTTTTTGTAGATCTCTGATAAAATGATACAAAAGAAGAACTTTCTGTGTTTGTTATTTCGTTTAGAAAGCAAAAGAGGGTGACATATGTACCGCTACCAATGCTGTAACGGCTCCAGTACTTTACTAAGTCCATGCATAACTACAAGAGGTGTTCTAAAAGCTCTACGTACCCAATACCAGTGTAGACAATTCTAGAGAAGATGACAAGAATGCTATGCAGATACAGAAGTCCATTAACTACTCGTTTCAGCGAACAGAGAAAAGGACCAGGCAAAAACTTAAGCATTCGGTTTTCTTCAAAAGAATCTGTTATTTTCTACTGTTTTAGAAAACAAACCAAAACCATCTTTATGACAAAGTATCTCTTGGCCACCAGATTGGTGAAATAGCCCAGAAGATTTTCATTTGGAGACTTTCAATGTAGTATGCTCACATTGGCTTATCGTCTCGTTTCTTCTCTTGGTCAGAAGTTACAATCTTGACATCATTTTAATGGTTTAGGTGGCCAAAATGTGAAATAGCAAGCTTGAACTTTCACATGCAGTTGTTTACTCTGCGCCTATGTGAAGAGTATATGTCTTGAATGCACATTATCAACAGACATACCTCCTAATAGTCAAATCTTAATTAATAAGAAAGGAGCCTTTCAGAGTTGGTTTGGGCAATACGCAGGGGACCACTAGAGACTGCTTACACCATCACGGCACCTCTTGTTCCTGGATTATCAAGAGCCTCAGGCTGCCTTTGTTTTCAAGCCATATAGAATGGTGAAATTGGTGGGCCTGGCCTCATCCGAAGGCAAGATATCTTTGATTCTCTTTGATTTCTATGGATGGTGAAAGATGATATAGCCTTTTTTCTCTTTCTTGGACCCATTTTTGCTTTCTTTGAAGTTTTTTTCTCATCATAATCTTTGAGGTTTCTCTGCTAAAACCCACAAATATTCTTTTGGCTATGTGTGTGTATTTTAGTTCGTCACTAAAGATATTGTTTCGAGCTAGTATTCTCCCAAGTTTATGCCCTTACATTGTAACCAGAATCCTGAAAATAGCCCAGACAAATCTAATATTTGATTCTTTGGACAAAGCAACATGATATATTGGGTCCATGCAAGCGTGATCGGCGCTCAAATTAGTATGGAATATATAATGGTGGGAAATCTATCTTCGTTAAATAATTTTGAGCCAAGGCTAGCCAGACCACAAAATTAGTAAAACAATAACCTGAAGAAGTCCTATCCATCCAATTCTGCAGTGTAGGAATCATAATTACGATTGCAATCGCCATTCCTGAGACAAACCAAGTTTTGTGTAGAAGCTGAAACTTGTAACGCTTGCTAATTTGAACAATAGGCCAAGTTGCTAAAAATTGGGAAGACTAACAATGACGATCCTTGTAAAGCACAATTGTTGGCATGAAGTAGTTTCTGCAGCCAGTTAATCAAATGCCACAATTTTGCAACAGCAGGTTACTTGAATAAACCTAGCACGGACACATCATTTAGAAAAGGATGAAGAACAAAAGATTTCCTGCTTCAAGCTCTCAATCGACACTACAACTCGATCAACTTGCATTCCCACCCCAGAAACTCATGCATGCTAACGAGGAGTGACATACACAAAATATTGTAAATAATAGTACACTTACTAATTGCATATCTGATAATATGTTTTTCCATCACAAGACTTGCAATTTCTTAACTGCTGTTGCTATTTCCACTACATCAACGGTGCGCTCTCGGCTTCGGAAAAGGCAAACCATATTTATAAGTCTCCGAAGTTTGAAATCCGATGTAAGAGAAATGAAAGAATAAACTAAGTTAGATCTTAATACCTTTTCCAGGAACAATTATGACAGGCACTTTACTGTTGTGCAAGCAATACTCTCCCACGCTACCCTGCAGCACACTATATGATACAGCAATGACACAATCAGACAGATGGACAAGAAAAGGAGAGAGAGAGAACATCAAATAGGGATACTATTAAAACTAGTAAAGAACCTTTGGATTAAGCCTCTGCCTCTGGTGCCCATGACCACAGCTGCTGGCTTTAACCTGTTTGCTTCCCGGCAGATTACTTTACCTGGATCCCCTTCTACAATACGAGCAACAGTTTTTACCTAGTTGTGCATAAACCATACAGATTTTGCTAATGAGATCATAAATAAACATAATGCACTGCACTAAAACTAGATTTATTAACTGGAGAATAAACTAACACATAAAGAAACAGCAAGAGAGAGCATCCACATTGGCCAAGGATGAGTCCTCGATACAATTTCACAAAAGCTGAGATTAGTGCCAAACTCCACAGCAATACCAAATCAGAAATACAGGCAGGAAGCTACTGAATTTTGTAAAAATTAAAGGGATGATTTTTTCCAATTTTCTTTTATTTATAGAGCTCTAAGTTCCCTTCTAATTAAGGCTAGATCCATCGAACATACCGATTATGATTTTGTTTGTATCTGATGTGTCCCTTTTTTTAATAATGAATTATTCATTGATCAAGGAAAAAGAATAGGATCCAATCCCTACTTTTTATACATCAACATTAAATATATGATCCGGGTATCTTCTGTAATGTAGCATCAATGTCCATTAGTTTTAGAAGTAAAAGAAAGAAACCACCCTTTATTTATGAATTCTATGTCTTGCAGTTTTCTCTGTCATTTCTGATGAGGTACAGGAAATTAAATTCTAAATCTTTTACATTCAAATCATAGAACAAATTTAACCAATCTGCGAAATACTGACCATTGCCACCTGCAATGCCTCAAACGGCAAGCTTCTCCAGGAGTCCCTCTGTCGTATCATAAACAAGGACATTTTTCATATCTACAAGAATCCAAAATTTTAATCCAAAATGAAATGCATCCATACAATCTACTGACATAGGCAAAATCGAATTCCGATGACAGGATGATTTTTGTTCATTACATATATACCTAGGATGGCATGAACAAGATGAATGGTGTCAGCCAGGCGGCAAAGATGGATCAAGGCCCAATCAAATGCATGTTTGCTGTTAGGCCCATGATCAATGGCTACCACAATGTCTCTGCCTCTCCTCCTTTCACCTGTTTCTCTATCGAGTTCAGGTTTCGGTACCACAGGAATAAATGAAGGTAACGTAACTTCTTTCCAGTTGTACTCTTCATCCTCTTCAAGGGTTTCTAACGCTTTCAACGTATGCTTTTCTCTCATTGCAAAATTTTTAGAACTCATTAATGTGATTGTTCAAAACCCAACAAAAGAATCAAACAAAGTTTTAGTTCTGATCTTAGATTGGTTTTTGATTCTTTTATTGGCAGCTGAGCTCTTTGGCGTCAAAGTTGAATTTTTCCTTGTATGCATTATACACGTGTAGAAACTAACTAAAAGTGGATCTTAGGAAAATCACAACGTGCAGCTTTGCATCCATGAGCTATTTGTTCAGTGCTATTTCAGGCCTGCCAACCTCTTTTTATATAGTAGTAATTTAAATTTTTTAATTGAATTGATTTTTTAATATAATATTAAATTTTTTTTAATTAAATAATAAGTGTGTGTAAGTTTTAAATTTAAATAATTTTTATTTAAAAAAACGTGCTATAGAATAATATAAATTATATCATAAATAATAATTTAAACTTTTAAATTAAGATGATTTTTTTATAAAATACCAAAATTTTAATAAGCAAATGATAATGATTTTGAAATTCAACACCCTTATTCTCTATTTTAATTAAAATTAATTAATACAAGTTTCAAACACAACACGGCAAACTTTTACTCGAGAGTATTATTGGTTGACTTCTTACACCAGCTCCAAGAAGCCTGTTTGTCGAATCAGTTGTTTGTTTCCAGCACAAGGATTATTTCCTAACGAAGCAGGTTAGGATAGTTGGATTAAAACATTACTTAAATTATTGGATTAAAATAGCTGTTTAACTTTCTTGATGGCCTTCTTATCCCAGCTCTGTTAAGCCTACTTATCGAATCAGCTGTTAGTTCCCAACTCAAGAGTTATTTCTTAACAAAGCAAGCCATTCTACATTGGGATGGTCTGTACAGACCAACAGACCACACC